TTTTTTTGGGTCCGCGTTCGGCCCGAACGGCCGAACGCATCCCCAAGGGGTCCCATACGTTCGGGCGTTCGGGTTCGGGCGTTCAGCCCGTCCCGAACGCCGGCTACCCTGTATATATATATTTTTTTAATTCTAAATTTGGTGAAGAATTTCGATGTGACCCTGAGGCAAAAGTTGTTCAGTTTATTTTTCTGCATAACATAGTTTTTTTCAATGGGACCCGGGCGGCCCGGCTGGTAGCCTAGGAACAGAAACAATTTTTCATTTTTATTTTTCATTGTTTTTGGGCCCGGCTTGGCAAGTGGTCCTGGGCCACTCTGGTAGCCTAGTTCTCCACAGTGTTCCTGATTGTTTTTTTTTTTTTTCGGATTTTGCCCTGTGGCTGCCATACCTTGCCTGGTGAGAGTCACAGGAGCGAAAGGCAGCCTGGGCGCCCAGCCTGGCAGCCTAGGCAGATGACCTTTTCAAGGAACTATGAACGTGCAGGGAATGGGTTCTTTGTGTTCCAGGCAGATCACCTTTTCAAGGAACTGCAATAACCCATGCCATATGTCTCGTGGAAAGACTGAGGGCCAACTCGGCCGCCCTCAGCCCAGGCCAAAACGGGGGCAAAAAGGACCCCATACGAGGACTCAGGGCCTGGACGTGAGACAGTTGACTTTGGTCAACTGTCGTGACCCCAACAGTCAAAGCCCAAAGGTACCTAGCCCAGGCCGCTGGTCAAGCACACACACTTGTTTGTATGCAGGTACCCAGACAGCATCAGGTCCAAGGGAGAAGTCTGCAACTGCACAATCCGGGCCCTCAGCTGTGAGTCAATCTGGACGACTGTGGGTAAAGCACCCGAGGCCAGACAGCCTCGACAATTGCTACTTAAGGCTGGTCTCGAGTGAGTCAAGCATTCAGTCTTGCTATGCTGGTTTGACGCTGGCTCGACTTTGACTAGACGCTGGCATTATGTTGACTCTACGCTGGCTAAGCGCTGGCTGTGCACTGGCGATGCGGACGACGGCACGAGGTGGAGGCAGCATGCTGGCACTTTCTGCATTGCTTGCCAGGCTTGCTGAGGTGGCATGTTGATGTGGCGCTACCTCTGGTCTACATTGCATGCTGATGTGGCTCTACCTCTGGTCTACATTGGATACTGATGTGGCACGACCACTGGTCTACATTGCATGCTGATGTGGCGCTACCTCTGGTCTACCTTGCATGCTGATGTGGCGCTACTTCTGGTCTACATTGCATGCTGATGTGGCGCTGCCTCTGGTTTACAGTGCATGCTGATGTGGTGCTACGTCTGGTCTACATTGTGATGTGGCGCTGCTACTGGACTACATTGCTGATGTGGCATATGCCACCTGTCTCGACTGTTGACGTGGCATTGTCCACGCTGTCTACATGAGGTGACTGGTTGCGCGGAGGAGGAAGATCGGGATCTGTGGATGAAGGAGATCGGGTACTCGCCTGAGGTTGACGTCGTCACTGGAGTGCAATGACTTGCTGGTTCCAGGTTGCCTGTAGCCTCTCTCAGACGAGGTTGTACCATAGGTAGGGACAGATTCGTAATTTTGTTTGGCTGAGGGCTAACCGAGAGACCTACCTGTAAGGCAAATTCGTGAGGGACATATTTGTAAATATAGGAGATATGGGCCCAGTACTAACTCTAATTTCCTACAGTTACCCTAATTGCGAATAGCAGACCCGGGCTACCCCTAGGACAGACAGGCCCAATGGGCCTATGCTGATAGACGGTCCTATCGCCTATAGCCGGGTAGGGAGAGGCCCTAGAGGCCGAAACAGAAACGGTACCGGTCGGTCAGTCAGTCCGGTCTAGGTCGTGTATAGGCTAGTCAAGAGTATAGATAGGATGGGGACATCGGTCCTGGGCTTTTGGCAGTTGACACTTCGTGGTGGAAGTTGCTGCGCACACGGTATCAGGTCGTGGTTGCCGATTCTGGCGTGGGAGACGGCAGACATAGCCAGACCTTCGGAGCGCTGACCAGACTGGGGTCAACGCTGTCCGCTCTGACTCCCTGGGAGTCAAAGCGGTCTGGGCTATCAGAGGTCTGATGTGTTGGAGCACGTGGTGCACTGCTGACCCTCCTCAGGAGTAGGGTCCCAGTGGCGATGCAGCCATAGCTGCTGACCCTCCTCAGGAGTAGGGTCCCAGTGGCGATGCAGCCATAGCTGCATCTTCTCAGAGGATATCATCATCTGGACTTTATCTTCATCAGGGACTGTTGACGCTGAGCTTCTTCTTCATCATCTGGGTGGCGATTGGCTCTGGGAGCCTGTTTCATCTTGGCGCAGGCCACTGAGTTGGATGTCAGGGTGGCGCTGGGTGTTACCTCGGGTTCTGGTGCTATTTTTAGCTGCTCGGTGTGTGTGGGGTTGAGGCGCTACCCCTCTGAGGGTAGTGCAACAGGGTTCTGAGGTTATTCAGTGAAAACGATGCTCTGAGTTTAATAAACAGTTGTATTACTGTGTTTGAGTTGTCATCTCTTCATTGATTTCTGGCTGTGGTCACTCGGTTGTCTTCTATGAATGATTGTTGGGACTTGTGGAGAGAATCCACAGTTTTGTGTGTTCTGTCACTTCGCTCCTCTGAGTCTTCCGCTGCGCTCCTTTTGTTGGGCGGTGTGACACTCCACTATCTCCCCTTCCTGCTGTGCATGTATGGGCGTGTACGGGGGTTCCTGTGAGTGAGCGTTGATAAAATTTCAACGGACAATCATGTTCATAACAGGAGTCTGCTATGTCTTCACGGTCTTCACGAGATAAAGTGCCACGTGGCACTATTGTGTGTGATAAGGAGTATACTTATTATCATTGTTGACGTAGAGAAGAAAGAAGCCTGGAGAAGGGGAGGGGTCTGAAGGGATTACGATTGTGAGATCTTTCATCTTCTCCTCTGTCTGTTCCCTCTCCACTCTCTCCTTTTGATGGTAATGAGATACTGTATGAGATATCACTTCACGATTTGGAGACCTTGATGCAGATAATGAGACTACTGATGTTTGACCACTTCTGAGTATCTGCCAGACTGGGTTCGTTACAGAACTAAGAACATGCAGGGGATGGGTTCTTTTGTGTTCCTGGCTGGGACACATTTGTGATCAAGATGGAAGGGGGGCCTAGCTACAGGGCCCTCTTTCCGCTATGTGTGTGACTTGGAATGTGGGGATGTTATTTGTTCCATTTGCTCCGACTTGCTTGTCTGACTTTTGGTTGTTGTTGTCTTGGAAATTTCAAGGCCATGTCCAGGTGGTCTTTGCTAGTGGTTTTGCTGCTACTCATTTTTTTCACCAAAACCAGGTGTCAAAGAGATAGTACTTCTTGGCAATATTTCTCCACCTTCTCCATGGCAGTCACAAGGTGGAAGCACAAACTGCTGCAGATGTGTGAATGACCCAATTTCGCTTAGTACGTCACTTAGAAGTGTGAGCAGGCAATCATTCGCATCAACAACATATGTCAGCTTATCATTGGATGACACGACATCAGCACAGTTGACCCCACCACAAAACCACCTCTTGGGAAAGTCCTGTGAATGTAGAGCAAGACGGTTCATGTTCTTCCTAATAGTGTTGTCTCCCCTTCACGGCAATGTTGAGAGGAAAATGCTTGCCGAAGCGTACACAATGAGATGACCAGTGCTGTGCTCCAGCAATTGCCTAACTCCAAGAATGGATCCATGAATGGGTCACTAGTGGCCGTCTCACATCTGGCAATGAGAACAAGCAATCAAGCTCTGGCCAATCTAATGGGGCAGGCGCATGTGTATCATCCTGCAGTAGTTGACAACAGAAAGCAGGGTGTGGTACTCCCTGAGATAGCAGGTTCATCCTGCCAGAAACTACCATTGCCCTTCAGGTCTTTGTCATTTTATTGGCTTTGTTTCTTTTCGGCACCAACCGCCACTAATCCTGATTCTTCACTATGAACTAAGCTCTCCTGTTCTGGTGACCAGTGTGTTGCAGAGTCGTTTGCACCAAAGGAGTCTTTGGATATGATGGGCTCCGTAGGGGGAAGCAAGCATGCCAGCACTGGCCACTGTTCTGGAAATAGAGGACGGGTGATGTCAAATTCTGCACAGAGAAACTGCAGATTTATGTCAGCAACGGCGTGCAGTACTGCCCGTGTCAAGGTTATGGATGTAGGCCATGGAAGCTCGACAGGTACCCCCAGAAGGCGATCTGCTATTGAAACGGTTTCTACAGAGAGTTCGAAAGCTGTAAAGCAGGGTGGAAGAGTTTGGCAGAGTAAGAGTCACAATCTTGATGCTGGATCCAACCAAGGTCAAGTTACAAAAAACAGGCATGGGGTGTGGGAACTGAGCAGGGTGAAAGGTGGATCAGTGGATTTTGACCACCGACCCATCTCCTCAGAAAGGAGGAGAATCCTGAGCTCATCAGAGGCGCTCCATGGGTCTTGCCTCTCGCAGGCTGACTGCCAACATCCCAATTCTGTCGGTCATGGGCAGCTTGACTGCAGACAGTGGTGGGACAGTGGTGAATCCCGCAGGGACCTTGAGAGGGGTCTTGGAAAACCAGACAGAAATGGCATATGGGGCTCGCAGGGTAGCCTTCGTCTTGATGGGAAGCAGTTGAGCACTACGGAAAGCAGTGTGAAGAAGATATCGAGTGCGAATGGGGTGTACTTAAGGTACAAAGGACAGAAATGTGGAGCTGTCACGTCAGAGCAGACAATTTGTCAGAGTGATGGTCAATATCCCCAAAACATGGCTGCAAATCCATTGGAACATGCTAGGGATGACAAAGATGCTTTCTGTGAGTCAAATGGCTGTGACAGGGAGCCACACCCTGCAGCTGGAAGGAGGCTGAAAGCAGATGCTGTGAACATTTCTAAAGCAGGTCCCAAATCGTCTCGGATTTCTTTCTCGAGAGGAGAGAATACTATGAGGGACTTGTGGCTAAGGCAGAGTGTTCCTGGTAGCCTGCCCTCAAGAACCGCTGGATTGTCAAAGAGTTATAATCATGGTCTTGGTTTGACAGATGCTTGGCAGAGGCTTAGTGATCCTGCGAAACGAGTGATGGAATCTTCTCACACATCAGAGGCATCTCGAAGACTGAGCCATCCTCCAAACCTACAAAAAACATCTAGTGGCAATGTCTTTGACCGACTTGCAGCGTCTCCGACTGTCCAGTCTCTTGCACGGGAGCGCGGCCACCAGGACAAAGCCCCTCTGCTTCCACTTCAGGGACAAGGTTTGAGCCGCAGCTTGACTGTGCCTGTTGCAGTGAGGACAAGCGTTTTGTCCCAATCAACTATGGCATTGCCGGTATCATCACGAGCCAAGAATTGTGTATTGGCTGGAGAGAGACGGCTTGGTTCTCAGTCTGAGGCTTGGAAAGCTGGTAGATGTCCCACATCTGATAAGCAGATGAGAGACCGGCTTTCTAGCACACCAGCTGTCACGAGGAGAAAGATGAGGTCGGTCTCTCCTCCGGCTGTCCGTAGCAGACGGACATTGTTTTCCTTGTCAGCTGTCCCTGACCGAAGTAAAAGGGCAAGTGATGTGCATGGAAGGGAGGCTCTATCATCAAGGCCCTCCACGCGGTCTTCTTCGAGTGGACTGAAGCGCATCTCATTGAGGAGGGCCCCTGGTCTGCCAGATCGTGATGAAGAACTTTCTTTGTCATTGACTTTAAAGACTCACGTTTTGATGGAGGAAAAGGACTCAGAATTGTACTGGGATGGATGTCGATGGATGGTGAAATTTATGCGAGTGGAAAAGCCATCTGACCATCACAGAGCACCTTTTTGTGGGCTTGCCACTCCTGCTGGTATGAAGGTTGATGGAAGTGAAGCACTGAGTGGTGGCACTCGCATGAGAAGGTCTAGCTATGAGAAGGGAAATAAGGTACCGCCTCCTATCATCGAAGATAGAATCAAGTCTGTCAATGATAACTCTCATGATCAACAAGGGCGAGGGCGAGGTAGTTCTGAGACACGAAGGCGAACTTCGGAGCCTGCCAATAGGGGGGAATATGTGTTTGCGCAACTGGATGCTTGGAGGGACAAGAAGGATGAAGCCCATACACAGGTTGCAGGCGTCAATGCGTTTACGGGAGGCAGTGGTTTGGTCAGTACCCACAATTTTGCAGGGGACATCCTTTGTGTTGACGATGGCGATCCCTGTGTCACAACCATGACAGAAGAGGATATGGATGATGTAGGAGAAATGAGTGAAGAAGGGAGACATGATGGTGTGGAAGCGCAGCCTGCTTTTGAACTGCTCACAAACCACGTGAGAGCAATAGCTGGCTGCCAGGGAATGAAGACATTTGAAGAGGTGACCAAGGTTCAGAAGGATCCACAGAAGGTGGGAGCAATAGCTGGCTGCCAGGGAATGAAGACACTCGAAGAGGTGACTAAGGTTCAGAAGGATCCACAGAATGTTGATGGACTGGAATGTACACAGACGGCAAATTCCTCTCTATTGATTTCATCTTGTCGGTCTGAAGGCATTGTGCACATTCGCCATGGAGAAGGGGAAGTGAACCTTGATGCTGTTAAGGTAAGCCTGTGCTTCACCCGAAATATTTGGAGTATTTATAAAGGGGAACTGTACTCATTTGAGTTTGGGTTCTTGGTTATGATTGTGGTCATTATTGAATATTTTCTTGTGGAACGAGATTAGTTCTCAAAAAGCAGAAGGATTGCAATTAATTGTAATTCCCCTCTCTTCATTCCTGATTGGATGTGAACTTGTGTAATTCTGTGGAGTGGGTTCAGGGTGTGGGAAGGGGGTCCAGAGGCTGATAAATGGAGGGTTATGGTTGTGTCATGCTGGTTGGCGGGAAGAATCAATGGAGGTAAGAATTGGCTACCGGATTCTGAGCAAGGTTCAGAAGGCTTTAAGGGGTGTTTGAGAGCAGGGCTCTGAGGAGCAATTACCATCAGAGAACACAAATTTTCCAGCAGCGAAAGACTCGAACAGAACAAGCGTACATGAGAAAAGTCAAAAACAGAATTACAAAGCCAAGAGCACACCCAATGAGCACGCGATGACAGCGACATCTCTTCATAAAGAAATCCCAACAGTGTAGTAGTTCCCCAATGGTGTGACTGCCCATACTACCGTCCTGCGCACTCACTGTGCACAGCGTACTTCTCTCTTTGTCTCCCCCTCTCTCACTGTCGTCTGTCCTCTCGCCTATCAATGCTGCAGACTCCGACCACCCAAAGGGTTCTGCTCCATTGGCCATTGCCTGGTAAATTCGTGTGTTCCCAGTGATGTCCTTGTCCCCTGATCACCCCAACACCAGTGCCTCTTCTCCTCCCTTGGTGCAGCTATGGCTGCCTTCAAGGAGGAAGAACTGTCTGTGGCTTCTCGTCCCCTTCTCCTTTGTCAATGCTCAGGGGCCTGGCGGCATGTGCTTGCTTCAGAGCTGGCTTTGGCAGCCAGTGCCTCCAAATTTATGGAATGCTGCTGCCTCCTTTCCTTTTGTCACTTCTGGAGGCTAGTGCAGCCTGATTGGAACCTCTTCAACTAACCGGGAGGCTGGACCTAATGGTTAGTTCGAGAGGCTGCATCCAGCCTTCCTCCCAACTACCTCATTCCAGCCTCCCTAGAGGCCTGGTGGCATTTTCACAGCCCGACCTTCACTTAGGTTCGGGTCCTTTTTGCACGAGCGCCCCCTACCGGGCGCCGCTGAGGCCTGAAGCCTCACATCCTGCCCTCCCTAAGTTCAGAGCCCTCTCCAAAACCTCAATCTTCTTGCCATCACTCCTCTCTCAGAGCTCATTCGTAGTAGGACTGCTTTGGGCGCAGATTTAATTAGTTCCTCCCGTGAGAACCATGGATCGTCCTTACGATGAATGCCACCCTCAACTGCAACTGTGGCTTTGGCGGTCTTCCTCTGCCCCGTGGCTTCTGCACAGGCATCTCCCTATTCTCCACAATTCAATCAATGTCGACTTGACCTTCCGCTCATGCGCAGCATGGATCTGCAAGAAGGAAACTGAGCACTGTGTGTATATGGCGATGTTTGGATGCCTGAAAGACAGGGAAAGTACTGACATATGGCGAAAGATCAATCCTATAGGAAGTGCCATCTGGATTGTTCACTACAAAGTGTAAGACATGCCGGACCAGGGCTGGGACAGCAACTGGCCGGTTCACCTGGGCCGGTCCAATCGGGGCCGGACGGGTCCAGGGGGGGGTTGAACCGGAAAACCGGCTGGGCAAAAAAAATGCCCTTTTTTCTATGTTACCTGATTGGACGCCCGGGACCCCGCTGACCGTTTGGGATGTCCGCCCGAACAACCAGGCCAAACGCCCGACTGGAGCCCTCTGTCCGAACCCACATAAAAATATCTATATATATCTTCCTTTATTCTGGCCTGCAATAGACATGCTATTTGTCAGGAATGTATGGTTGGCATGCTTAATGCCAGCCGTCGTGGGCCCGTGGCAGTTGTTGTTTTGAGAATGCTCAGTTAGGTCTTGCATGCGCTCATCCACCCCATCCTTACAATGTGTGTCCTTTCTGTCGTCAAGGACAGCCTCATTCTTGAGCTTTTCCCTGTGTTTAACACCTTCCCCTTCACTCTGCCTCTCTCACAGCGTGCAAGTGGGCTGTTATGGCATACGGGGATGGGGGCAGMTCGYGCTCAACTTCATCAACGTGGCGAGCCTTGCACGTGAGAGGCACAGTGGAGGTGGAGTTCAAAGAAGAATGAGAAATTTAATGGTTTCAATCTGCCCTTATTATCACTGTGCCCGTTTTTTGCTTTTATTCTTTGTTCCGCAAAGTGCGCTCTTTTAGTTTGTAGTKATGTGACAATATATTCTCCGATGTTGCTAGCCCTCTGCTCTTGCAGATTRAGCGGCGAGCATCGGGCCTGTACAACCAGRCACTCACTTTTTTTGTGGAAGACAATCTATTCTTTCTCTTATCTCCTACATCTTTCTTTTTATGTTGTTCTCACCCCCTTCCTTAACGACTCTCCTGCCTCCTTTGCAGGAGCTGTATGCCTATTTGGCTGGTTTCATGGTGAACTCAGCTCCTCCATTGTTTCTTATGACAGATGTTGTTACAAAAGTTCTGCATGGTTGTTTGTCCTTTTTTGGTAAGCTTGGTATTGTGACCATGTTCATTTCTGCTGTACACCCCGTACATGTACATTCGTGATGTACATTCCGTCTTGTCTATGTGTTGTGTACAGCTGTTATGTACACTTTTTCCTTCAGTGCATGATGTGATTGTGATGGCGGTCRCCGCAAGGGCACGGGTTGCACCCCTTTCCCGKGCAGTGGGTATAGTTACGGCCCGCCTAAGGTTGGCCAGACCCCGGCGACTGCCTCCATGCCCACTCACCTCTTGTTTCCTGTTCTTTGGGATAATCCTTCTACGCTGGCTCATGCATGTGTCAGTTGCTTGGTGACATCTTTTTATGTAGACACTGTTGGTCTATCAGTGTAAGGCTCTTGTCATTGCTGCTGGTTGCACACTTATGCTGATTGCACACTCATCGGGAGACGCAGTTTCACATTTACACCAAGCTCCCTCKTTGACAATGCTGCTGACTGTGAACAGCAAACAAAAAGGACGACGGCAGGAATCCCGACCTGAGCCGTCGGGCCTAAAGTCCTGTCACCTCATGCACCCACCTCCTTTCTTTGGATTGAAAAGTTGACAAAAAAAATAAAAAAAATGAAAAAAAACAAATAAGAAAAAAAACTAAAAAAACAATCGTTTCATAATCAATGAATTTGCAATTGAGAAATAATCAAGGGGCTGTTCCGATACTTCCCACCCCTTTCGGGAGATTTCCTGCCGTTGGCATGGCAGGTGCTATACCAAGCTTTCCTCTAGGTCACGCCGTCCCATTTGYTTATGCTCACATGTCGAACCGCCAGGCATCTGTWTCTCATCGTGTAGATTGGCGTGCACACTTGGAGTGGAATACTAACTTGTATTCTGCAGGAAGGTGRCGCAAGAAACAACTCCGTCATCTTAACAATGTTGTGCAGGCCGAGCGGTTTGAGTTACAATTGCGAGGTGTTGATCAACAACCTCTTGAGCCTGGTATGGACCCCCTCACTATTCGAGGAGTGATTTATGCAATTGTTCATTTACCTTCTAGTCGTTCTTATGTTGGATAGACGATGCATTCTGCACACCAAAGGCTGCAAGAGCATTGGCATACACGACACTCTTCAGCTACTTTTCACCATCGCCATTTCTACCGCACAATGAGTGGGCAACCAGCATTCAACTTCGCGGCTTGGCCCCTAGAATGCATCGATCCTACCCTGTATCATACGTGTGGAGGTCTTGTTGATGATGGCCTCTTTCGGAGGGCGAGGGTTTTTGGGTTCGAAAACTTCGAACGCTTCACGCAATCGGTTTCAATGCAGTCCTTCCAATGGCTAGATTGCTATCTCCACGACGACATTTACGTCCTTCCCGATGGACACAAATGGGCCCTCAGCCGTTCGTTCCGCAATCCCCTTTTGCTCAGCCCTCACCTGCTTCACCTATTCCTGCATCAGCTAATCCTCCTCACACATCACCCCTTTTGCCGACACCCGCTGGCTCCCATGTTGCACCTCTTTTGCCAACACCCTCT